ACCTGTTGAGGGAAAATATTGTACATCTAGCTTTTTTCTTTTTTTTTCCCAATCTCACATCTGTTTTCTAGCATCATTGCAGAGAATGAGCAGCAGTTTGGTCTAATTGCTTGCACAATAGAAATGCTTGTGATCAGATGCTGCTGTTGAGAGGAGGTAGCAGGATTTGTATAAGTGAGGTGGATTGTCAATATGCTTGTGGGAGTCCTGTCTCATGGGAAGGACTAGCTTTAGTAATATAGCAAGCCTCCCCCCCGCCCCCAGGGGTAGGAGCTCAAGATCTTTCTCTGTAGCATGTCCCAGGAAATTAGATCATTGCCACAAGTGCTACTTTGACCAATGCTATGAATGTGTTGTCACTTGCATTCATATATATTTGCATACATGCAAATAGTTGCTCACAGAAGTGTAGTTCAGCCTCTTTTGGAGGCAGTGATTGAAAAGGAGCCTGTCATCAACTTGTAATATATGTCATGTCCAGCATCTCTGTAGTTGAGGTGAGAATCTCCAGGTTGACTCTAGTTCTGTGCTGGTCTCCTTGCATGGGGAGATGTGAGGCTACTCCTCCCTGAGCATCTGTCTGTGTGCTTCCACTCTCAGGGTGGTCTCTTCAGTCCGGTGGAGTTGTGTTACTTGTAGAGCTTGAACTTTCTGCTGGCTTAATGGGTCAACATTGTTTAAAAATGCCTTGTGACTGATGAGAAACGCCTTCAGGCTTTGGTATCTCCTGTTTGACAGCATAGCAAAGGTCTGCCTTGCTTCTTGTTTCAGTGAGTTCTCCAGTGCCATGGAGTACCTGAAATTGCTCAATTCTTTTTTGGACTCGATGGGAAGTGGAGCCCCACCCTTTGCTAGCAATTCTGTACTCAAGTCCGCCCTGGGTAAGTCCGGCAGAACCAAAGCTCTCCCAGCTGCAGAAACGACTGCTGATAACACGTTCACTCTCTCCTCTCCACCTCTCAAACTCCAGGCAAGGAGAAATGCAGTCCTTGGAGTGACACTTGATTGCTGAGTAGCAGCATACCACAATGTGGTACGGCAGCTCAGACTGGAAGAGGGTGGTTGGGAAGGCTCATAAATTTGGCTGTGTGTCGTAATGCTGGGTGCCCAGGTGGGACTGCAGTTACTTGTATTGCTGGGCATGTTCCAAGCTGAACCCCATGCCCTCACCTGAGAACTTGCTCCTGGCAAGGCAAAGCAAGAGGAAGGGTGTAGCATATAAAACAGCACAGCAGTGTTGCAGGTGAGGCACAGGAATGCTTTTTCCCACTTAATTACCTATTGGACTAAATACAGGTTGACCTCACTGTCACAGCAGCTGTCATGTATATACCTCAATCTCCAGAGACCTGCGAACCATGCTATAGACAAGCTCTGAGCATCTGTCTATAGGCAGGTGCTTGGTTTGGTCCCTTGGTGTATATTTAGCGGGACAATGAGAGCTGTAGACTCCCTCTGAGCCATGTGCTCATCTGGGTTTGGCTGGTAGCAGGCTGCTGGAGTATTCATCTTGCTTGGTGTTGGTACAGACAGCAGCTGGCAGCTCACTGGGATGCTGCTGGAGCTTTAGACGCAGACTAACTGTGCTATACCTAAAATGTGTAGAGCAAACATAGAAGGAAAACTAGATACTTCTTTTTCAAGGGATTGTTTTGTTGCATAAAGGGAAGTCTATATTTGGGTCAATATTGTAATGAAATTTAAAAGCAGCTCAGAGTAGCAGAGGCTATGTCCTTTGGCCCTAGATAGGCTTTGGGAAGTTTTTGAGGGGATGTTAAATAATGGAGGAAGTGCTATGGGAAACCTGATATATTATTTAGTAGTTTGGTGGTGATTAATGCCAAGGCACGGTATATACAAGTAGAGTTGTTACTTTGGGGTAGTGAGTGGAGATCCTTGTCAGGAAGAAAATCAACAGATTTCTAGACAAGTAGACGGGGTAGGTTCTTGCTGACAAGATACAAACTCAGCACCCAAAACTGTGGTCTGATGTAGGGTGTCTGTAAGTCCCTTTGTGTTCCTGCAGCACCTTTCAGCATTTGCCCAGACAGGTGCATTCCCATGGGATCAGTTTGGCCTCATTAGTGTTAATCTTGGCCAAAGGCACTGGCAAGGACACATGACACCTGCCCGCTTCTCCAAACAGGAAGGAGCTGGGTGTTCTCTCCTGGATTGCAGCTTGTGATTCTGTTTAACAGGCCCCGATGTGGTGTGCAGATGGTGGTCAGCAGCAGTGGCTATGGCAATCGGTTGGCTCAGAGGGGATGACGCAGCTGTGAGGTCACATTTTGCAGAAGTGGAGCGCATGCCGAAATCCCTGGAGATGTCAGAGTGCGTAGGCCTTGTATGACTTGCAAACCCCTACTCCTTCTAAACAGGAGCAGTTCTTCCCCCAGCCCCTGTCCTGTGGGCTACCCTTACCTGTGCTCTGGGGTCGCATGCCTCTTGTGCTCTGGGATGCCATAATGCACCATGCTCAGAAATTGATGTGTAGATCAAGGCTTGAAGGCTGATATTAGAGCTGTGGACTGGAAGCGTCAGAATTGCTTCTTTAGGGATGTCTTTTGGCTTTGTTCTAATTGCACAGTCTCCCACCTTCCAAAATCAAACAAAACTCCTGCACTGATGGAAAGGCTAGGATCACCATCTTGGTTCTTTTGCACTAAAGCTTCTTAGCCAATTTCCTTCCATTTGTCTGAGCAGTCTGTGTAGGTGAGGAACGATTTCCATTTTTTTTCTCTCTAAGAAATGATATCTCTGCCCTTGAAGATGGGAGGGTGAAAGCTGATGTTGGTTGCTGCATGAGCTCAGGTCCTGGGGCTGCCCTGCGGCAGCATGACATTGGACTGCTCGGGAGCAGCGCTGCCTTTCTCTTTCAGGAAGGCCCTGGTGAAGGCCACCTTCTACGTGTGTAAAGCCATGCAGGCCTCTCTCTCTGGGAAGGCAGATGGACAGCAGAGCTCCCTGGGTCACTGCGAGAGGGCCAGCAGTCAGTTATGGAACAGCCTCAACATGAGCAGCAGCGTCTCCAGCACTGTCCTCAACAACGTAAGAGCTATAAGCCCCGGGATAACACATGGTCTGTTTTAGTTGTGAGGTTGGTCTTGCTGCAGGTTTATTGCTTCCCCGTTGTGTGTATCTGCATTCTCCATCCATCCTGTATCTGATGGGAGTAGAAGAGACACTTCTTCCCTTTCCTTGCAAAGAGCATTGACATTTTTCTGCCCCTGCTGTATGGAGGAGCAAACCTGCAGATACAAGACCATTTCCCTGGGCATGGTCTCAAATAGCTGAGCTCCCACTCCTCTCCTGCCAGTACCTGTCACCCCTTTCTGGTGCTTTGACCACTTTGAACTTGGTCCATGGAAAACTTCTGTCTCTGTCCTCCAAATGAAGTTGCTGACACCTGTAAAGCAGGATCTCATTAAGTCAAGTCTGCTCTGTTTTAGGCAGCACTTATGAGTGTTTGAACCCTCTACCGCAAAAGTGGGACTGTGCCATGCTATTCCTGAGTTTGTGTGGGGCTTGTTTCTCTCTTTCCAGGATTACCTAAAGCTGGAGCTTCCCTGCGTGGCATATGGGACACAGTTCTGGTCCCTTCTGTTGCTCCTGGGTGGCAGCTGTAGTGCATTGTAGTTGCATTGCATGTTGTGGCAGTAACTGTGCAATGTTTCTGCAGTGCAGTACAGAGGCACTCTGCTTCGGCAGCGCGGGTAGAGTCTCCTAAGAGCAACTAGGACAGCGAGCGATGCTAGGGGGCAGCAGCAGATGGGCAAAAAGGGATTTGGGCAGCCACTGTGGGCTGTGTCAAGACTGCCTTTCTTTTCTCTACAGGTAGCAAGGCTGTCTTTGCTGTTTCCCACAGTTAGTATTGCTGTTTGGGCAGGAAAGCCTCTGCAGAAGGCTGGGGCATTGCTGGTGCAATATCCCCTTGGCACATCTTGTCTGGAGTGGGGTCGGGGTCAGCCTTGTGGAGGTGTTGGCTTCCCTGGAAGGAACAGCTGCTCCTTGGGCACAGCCTGGCACTTGCTCCTTAGGCTGGACCTCTCAGTGCCGAGCCCCAGAGGTGCCGCTTGGGCAAAAAGCAAAGTCCTGCTCCCTTCGGTGCATTGTGGTGGGGCGACTCGGGTGGGGGGGCCCCGGGTGGGCAGGAGGTGCTGCAGCCGCCCTGCCATGGGCCGTGTCAGCAGCTGTGTAGCTAATGGCCTGTTACTCGCCTGATGGGTTGTGTTAATAAGCGTGTGTGCCCGGGCCCCCTGGCTCTTGCAGATGATCCAGCTGCTGGCCTGTGACTTGCTGCTCTCTCTCCGCACCAGCCTGTGGCAGAAGCAGGCGAACGCCAGCCAGGCCCTGGGTGAGAACTACCACGCCTCGGCCCCCGAGCTGACGGGCTTCCACCGCGACCTCGGGCGATTTGTGCCCCCGTGTTTCGTGCCCGCCTACCGAAAGTTGATGGCTTGCCTCCAGCTTAAACTATAGCCCTTGCCGGGGGGGCGACGGGGAAGCTGCAGCCCTTGGAAACGTAGGGTGTACATGGGCTTGAGCGGTTTGGATGCTGGGGGTGGGATGGTCTGCCACCAGCAGCCTCCGTACTTTCTCTTGGTGGGTGATGAGGGAGCTTCCCTGGGAGTCCAGTGTGTGTGGGGAGGTGTCCGCCTTAGTTTCTACCTAGAAAACCATCAGCACGTCTGTATTGCCAAGCAAATACCATGGCATCCTGTCCCTTTACGTGGCTTCAGACCGGGTCAGTCCCTCCAAGGAGTGTGGAAGGAGGCTTCCTTGGCCACACTGGCTCTGCAGGTAGCTGGGGGGTGAGATGCCTTCTACACCTGTAGAGCACCAGGTGCTTCTCTGGGTGTTTTCTCCCCCTTCTGTTTAGTTTATCTAGTTTTAAGCCTCTGTAGGGGAAGTGTAAGCTAATACTTGGACAAGAGAGTTGTCCTGGTGTTGTCCAAACTCTGTTTTTCAAAGTTTGATGCTGTTATCAGAGCGCTGCACTAGCAGCCTGGGGTGAGATGCCCACCTAGGCCACAGTGCCAGGGTTTGCTCTCCCATTTTCCTCCCTGTTCCCTGCTCTTGTTCCTCCCCTTTTCCAGGACACTCACAGTTATATGTGGGGTTTTTTTGTTTTCTTCCTCACGGTTGCCCTGACCTGCAAATTCCCCAGAGACAGCTGGGAAGATGAGGGAGGAGCATGGAAGTGGGTCTCTGTTGTCAAGGTGTCAGTGCTCCGCTCTCCAAATGTGGTGGCTGAGAGATGATGCGAGTTCAGCCGCAGCATCGCCCCCGTGCCAGCCCGCCTCTCACCCCCGGTCCTGCCTTCCCTTCCAGGTTTTCCTCCATGAGGCCACCGTGCGCCTGATGGCGGGTGCCAGCCCTACCCGCACCCACCAGCTGCTGGAGCACAGCTTGAGGCGACGCACGCCCCAGAGCAGCAAGCAAGGTTGGTCCCGGGGCCCGGGCAGCGACCCACTGCCTGCGGGGCTGGGAGCGGGCAGCGCTTGGGCAAGGTGCGAGGCACAGCTGCAGCATCTTCCCCATGGCTGAGGCTTGAGATAACGAGCTCCTGTCAGCCTATGGCTCTTGGTGATGCTTTTGCCACGCTCTCTACAAGCTGGCTAACGTGAGCTGCCAGCCCTGGGCTGGAGGTGTCGGTGAACAGGCTGGGAAACATTTGCCTTCATGCAGCCACACATGCACAAAACAGCAGGCTGGAGTTCGGGGCGGCCAATGCAAAGGCGGAAGCCAGGAATCCTCAAGGGGGGAGCCAGGAGATGTGATGCTGGTTATAAAATCCCTTGGGGGTTTAAGGAAATGAGCAGATGTGTGTGCTGGTGCTGGGATGAGCCCTAGAAAGTGAGGTGAAAGGGACCGTCTCTGCAGAAGACAGGATTGCCAGTCCCTGCCTGTCTCCAGCTCAGACTGTTCTCCCCTGCCAGCCTAAAGCAGCTGCTTGGGGGTCTGCAGGATGCCCCTCACTCTTGGCACAGCTGGGGAATGCCAGCCAGGGATGCCTGTGCTAACTGGTGCCGGTCAAGGCCTGCATGGCGGGTATTCATCACACCCGTGGTAGCTTTGTCGTGAGCTTTCTCTCTCCTCTTTGCGCACAGGTGAACTGGACACCCTGCCAGGCCAGAGGGAGCGAGCCACGGCCATCCTGTTGGCCTGCCGCCATCTCCCCCTCTCCTTCCTCTCCTCCCCGGGCCAGCGAGCCGTCCTGCTGGCTGAGGCAGCCCGCACCCTGGAGAAGGTGGGGGACAAGCGCTCCTGCAACGACTGCCAGCAGATGATCGTCAAGCTGAGCGGGGGCACAGCCATCGCCGCCTCCTAATGCTGGCATGGGGCAGCCGCATGCAAAGACAGCCTGGTTGATGGTCAGCCTGGACTTCCCTTCTGGAGCTTAAAAAAAAAAAAAAAAGTGCTAGGTTAGGGCTGTGCTGGTGGGATTGTGATGGGGTGGGAGAGGGAGGGTTTTGGTTTTATTTTGTGGGGTTTTTTTTAACTTTCCCCAGGTTTAGCTTTATTAGCCCCCTTGCTTGTTCTCAGGCGCTGCAGCAGAAATCTGTCTAATTGTGGTTTTTGCAACTGTGCCTGGGGCTGTTGGGAAGCGCTGCCCTGACCTGGAGACCCCATCCCTGCTGGGGGGAGAAGCCCACAAGCCCAAGGCATAGAGAAGTGACACATCCAATGTATGTCCTCAGGGGCATCTTGTTCCCTTCCCAAACGTCTCTGCAGAAGGAAGCCTTTGGCGGGGGCAGAGGATCTGCTCAAGCCTTGCCCCGCGGGGCTGTTGGGGTCTGGGGCTATTCCCGAGAGGCGGGGGAAGGCACCAGCTTTCCTAGAAGCCCCCTAGACCCAACTTACAGAGGTGCTCTGGGAGTATCGCTTGGGGCCAGCACTACCCAGCAAATTTCTCTACAGTTTTTATACAGGTTTTTTTATAGGAGTGTTTGTGGCTTTACAAAAACATAGGGAACGATGCGGCAGATTTCCCTTCCTCTCCACTTCATGCGCCTCCTTCCTGTGATAGCTGCCTCTGGTTTTTGGCAGGGGGCTGGGTGTGTGGCAGCCCACAACAAGCAGAGCCTCCGAGAAGGCTGGGGGGTCCCTGGTCATCTGGTGCTGGGTGGCAGCAGAGGTGGACGTGCGGCGCCCTGCACTTGGCGTGAAGGGTACATGCTTCTCTGGTGCCTTTTTGTTGATGCAGAAACAATTTTTAGAAACAGGGTTTTTACTTTACTCAATTTCCAGTCCCAGAACGTGTCTTCGGCTGTTTTCCCTTCCTTTCTCCAACTGCTCAATAGCTCCTAAGCTCCTGCAGGGACTGGGAGGCACTGGTTCAGGGTGCAAGTCTCCCAGCCCTGTTACTGTCGCTATTCAGAGCGGTTTGACTTGCAGGTGTTAAATCGCCTGTGACTTTCCAAGGGCGGCGGGGGGGGGGCATGGACTGGGGACAGGGAGAGAACGGTTTGGCCCCTTTCCCTCTGCCTTCTTGTTGCGTCTCTCCAGAGAAGTGCAAAGCGGTTGCCCTCTCAGACATGCAAATGTGGAAACCAGCCTTTGGCAGGCAGGCATCGCTGTTTCTCCCTGTGCGTAGCTGGTGTGTGCTCCGTGTCGGCAGCTAGAAGCATTTACATACGGGCAGCAGCCCAGCCCAGTCCTGTCCTGTCCCAGTTAGGCCTGTACAACCTAACGACTGTTGCAAAATCAGAACTCGGGCTGTTTTGCAAGAAGCTTCTACATGTATCCAGCTTTTGCAGAGGGGCATAAGAGCTTGAGCTCCTTCCAAAATGAGGGGAAAAAGATGGGAGCTTGTCTCGCTTTGCACGGGGTCTTTTGGCATCTGGGAGGGGGATTTCATGTGCTGCAGGAACTGAACACAAGTGATGCTAGTCCTAGCGTTGCCTGGCTTCAACAAGATGGAAAGTGGGGTCAGGAGAAGACAGTCTCACAGCAAAGCCTGTTCTCAGTGGCCCTGGGCTGTAGCTGCGAACAAATCGTGGGGGACCAGAAGATGCTTCCCTCCCTCCCTTTATTTGGAGAATAGCTGGTGGACGCCCAGCTGCAATGGCCGGCAGCCTGTGCTTCTCACCCTCCTGGCAGGCAGGCGGGTGCCTTGCTTCCCAGTGTCAGCACTTGGACACTTTGAGGGGGGAGAGGTTGGTTGCTCTTGCGTGTCTTCGATCAGTGTAGGGGATGCTCTGGTGGCAGCCACTTCTGCTTTGAGCAGGTATCCTAAGTGTGCAGAACAGCTCTGGGGTTTGGGTGGGTTTTGATTGCCCGTCCCAAGTTTCCTAGCTCATCAGTGATCCTATTTTGGGGGGTGGATCACATCTTCCTCCTTTTTCTCCTCTTAAGTGGCTCTCGCACTTTTTTCCCAGTCGTGGGTTTTTCCTAAAATACAGAAACTTCTTACCTGTGGCAACCTCCAAGTTACTTCACATTTCTCCAGATCTGCATCCAACACGCGGGAAGTTTTGTGTTTTAGTAAAAGAGGAAGCGAGACTTTCGGAAAACGGAGATGCTGAGGGTTCACTTTGTTACTAACGGTGGACTGAGTCCTGGGGGATGGGCTGCAGGGAGTCCTGGCTGGGCTGGAAGGCTGCTGGGTTGAAACCCTGGTAGCTAATGGCGTGATCTGCAGAGGGTCTGGGGCTTCTACAGAGTAGAACAGGTACTCCTACAGAGTACTGCTGGTACCTCTCTCCCCTCCAGAGCAAGGGATTTTTGTCCTGTTTTTTTCTACACTGTTCATAAATTTGCTGCCCACCTGTCCCCACAACTTTTTTTTATATGTGTGTATATATACTGTAACTTGTTTGTGGGCGGGAGGAAATCGTTTTATGGATTATGTGAAGAAAGCCTATTTATCCATGTGGAGTTCAGAATAGGGATGCTTTGTGAAAGGAGCTGCAACTGGTGGGGGGGAAGGTTCCCCAGGGAACATACCTGCTGTCCAAAACCCTGTTCCAGGGCTCGTGAGCATCTGTTACCTAATAAAGGTGAACATTACCACCACCTCCTGCCTGCCCTCTTTCTCTCAGCCCTCTTCATCCCACCCTGCAGCTGCTCTTAAGCATAGGTGAGCCTGAAATGTCCTTCAGAGCTATCCAACCACACAAGCTGTCAGTCCTTTGGCCAGATAACCTGGAAAACGGAGCTTGCGCGGCTTGCAAGGGAAGATGGTCCCTTGGTGGAGCAAGCGGGGCGTCTCTGTGCTCCTTTGGAGGCAACCCAAGAGGCTGGTGGCTTGCGCAGAGCCAAGCGAGGTAGAGCTGGGCCAGAAGCCTGCAATTTTAGGAGCATCTATATGGGAGGAAAGCTTTTACCTGACCTTGCTTGGAACAATGTCCTTTTGCTCCATCTCTTCCTTTCTTTGCTCCCCCTGGTAAAACTGTCAGAACAATTAAACTTCAGCCAGGGGAGACCTGTTTGGTTTTCATGTGGCTGCTCGAAGGCTTTTGCAGTTGGCCCGGGAAGCTGGCTTTGCACTCTGCTGCCCATGGGGAGGGGCTGGGGTGGTTTTTGGTGTGGGGATGATGGGGGGGGTCCCCCCAGCCAATCCATACCGAGGCCATACAGTTTAATGTCTTTATTGACAAGGTGGAGGCTGTGGGGAAGGGGAGGCTGGGGAGGAAAAGAGGCTGCTTGGGTTCTGCCGGCAGTGCCGGGGTGGTGCTTTTTAGTCTATTGCTCTTCCCCTGCCTGCTCATGGGGGCTAGGTGGGGGTGCCTGGCCCCAGCAGGATGTGCCCCCGCTAATCCCTGGGGGATGTGGTCTGCCCAGCATCGGCCCCCCCCATCCCCTGAGCAGCGCACTGCTCTGCCAACGTGCCCCCGGCTCGGCCTCTTCATGGGGTGGGCTGAGAACGGCTGAAACTTGTTGCCTGGATGAGAGGGACG